CGCCGGCAGTCTCTGAGCTGCTGGGTGTGTGGCTGCTGTACACACAGCCACTGAGGGCCGGGGGGACAGAGGACAGTTTCGGGGCTCCAGGTAGCAAAGCAGGTCTCAAGCAGTACCTTGGTTCCCTGCTTGTTCTAGGCACCTTGGGGTGGTCCAGGCCAGCCCAGGGCTGGGTGGCTCCAGCCGAATAGCCCTGTGTGCACCCAAGCCTGCATCAGTAAGCAAAGGAGAGGGCAAGGGGCTGGTTTTCCCTATTCACTGCTCTGGGACATGCCTGTCCCCTCTGGCAGCTCCCCCAGGGCTGTATCACCAGCCACAGTGCAGATAGCACAGTGCAGCCCCCCATGCCCCCATGACCTGCATGCACAAGGAGCTGAAAAACCACAGCAAGAGTGCTCAAGACAGAGCCCGGGCCAGGGTTTATTTCTATGGGCACAGGCAGGGGCTGGGCAGGGCTCACCATGGCCACCCGGTGCCCAGGAGCCACCCAGACAAGGCTGGGTCGGGGGAGGGGCTGGGAGCAGCAATGTGTTCAAGGTGACGGTAGCAGCTGGGAGTGCTCAGGGGATGCTGCTGCCCTGCAGTGCCTGGGAAGCAAGCTGGGGATGGGCAGGGCTCTTTGTGGGGTCAACATGGCTTGCTGCAGCCACAGCCCTGCATAGGCGAAGTCGGTGTCACCACTGCCATCACAGGCGCCTGAAGTCCTTGAGGGCCACCCGGGCGGCATTGCGTCCCGCTGCTCCCATCACTCCTCCTCCTGCAAGCCAGCAGAAATGGGGAGCAGCGGGCAGCTCCAGCCCCACGAGATGGGGCCCAGTGAGCTGCCCCACCTCTGTGCCCGTGCGAGGGCAGAGAGGGGAGTGGACACTCCCATGCTGCCCTTGCATCTCTTCCACATGCCTCTGCCCTCCTCCTGCAGCCCCCCTGGAGGGTCCCGGCTCCCAGCCCTACTCACCAGGGTGGGCTCCGCTTCCACACAGGTACAAGCTGGGAATTGGGGACCGATAGCCTGAGTAGGATGGTGCTGGCCGGGCGAAGTACAGCTGGTCCAGAGACATCCCTCCATGGAAGATGTTCTGCAAGCAGAGCTCCGTGTGAGCTGGCTGTGCCTAGCCCAGGGCTGTGTGCCCACCAGCACTGGCACCGGAGTGATGCTCAGAGCAGAGCCCACATGGTACCCACCCCACCGGGCAGCCCGAAGATCCTTTCCAGGTCTGGTGGTGTCAGGATGTCCCTGCCGATGACGGATGCCTTGAACCCCGGGGCATAGGCTTCGATGCAGTCAAACACTAGAGAGGGATGAAGGGAGTGGCAGGCAGCTTGGGGCGACACGGTGGCTGGCCCCTGAGCAGCTCCAGGGTGGCTCTGCCCGTGGGCAGGGACCAGCACTCCTGGTGTTACCCAGGTCCACGTATGCATTACATACCCGTGTCTGCATATGCATTTCTGGCCTGCTCATCCCAGGGCTGCCCGCCCGCCAGCACGGAGGGGGTGTACTGGGTGAAGAGGGACACGACGTGGCAGCCCCGTGGGGCCAGCCCCGGGTCCAGCGCCGAGGGGATGCAGAGCTCAATCATGGGCCTGGGGGAGCAGGACACTAGCTGGGCAGGCAGAGGGGGACCCAGCCACCTCAAAGCTCTTCCCCCAGCACGACCTGCCGTGGCTGTCCTGCCCCTTCCCCGGGGCACCGAGGTGTGCCGGTGCACGCTCCTACCTGCTGGAGGGGTGCCCATGGGTGGCCTCAGTGAAGGCCTGGTGCAGGAGGTGGGTGCCCTCGCAGTTGAGATGGATGGAGCACTGGTGGTGGGGCAGGGGCCGGCCGTCACGGGTGTTGGGGGCAGCCAGGAAGCTCGGCAGCTGATTCACGGCCACTGGGCACAGAAGTGGGGTGCAGCCTCTTACTGAGCCTGGCGCCAGCGGGGATGGTGGCAGAGGTGGCCCTGCCAGTGCCTACCGTTGATCTTGGTGACAGGGGAGCGCGTGTCGACCTGCCGGATCCGCTGGACAAAATCATTTGGCAGCTGCTCCTGGGTTGGGAGAGACAGGGCAGAGCCCAGCAGTGAGGGGGGCAGCCCAGCCAGGGGACACCACCACGCCAAGCCCCTGCCAGCCCCATGCGCCCCATACCTGGGGGGTGAGCTCCAGGAAGGTGATTTGGGGGGAGGCATTGGACAGAACCAGTTTGCTCCTCACCTCAGTCCCGTCCTGCAGCACAACGCCCTGCGCCCGCCCATCCCTGCCCAGGAGGACACGGCACACCGCCTGGGCGGGCAGAGGGGACAGGACCTCGCCAAGAGCATCCCCACTGCCTGCAGGCCGGCCAGGCAGCTCCCTGTGCCCGGACACCCCGTACCTTCTCAGTAAAGATGTGGGCTCCATGGGCAGCCGCTGTGCAGGCAATGGCTTGGGACAGGGCCCCCATCCCACCAGCCACGTAGCCCCAGGCCCCCCGCCGTCCTTCTAGCTCACCCATCACATGATGCAACAGCACATACCTGTGGCGGCAGGACCCCAGGTTAGCTGCTGGCCAAGGGGACAGGTCTGTCCCCTGCATGGGCATGGTGAGGTTGGTGCCATGGCCCCCATAGATGGGACTGTGCCAGCTCATAGGATGCCAAATCAGTTACAGAGAGCACCCACCGACCAGGACTTGACCTGACCTGGGGAACAGAGGTGTCCAAACAGCAAAGGGGCAGTGGGGACCACTCAGGAGAGCCATGGGCAGCCCCTTGCCCAGCCCCAACCCTGTAGCCACTCCAGCAAGGCTGAGTGGGCAGCGGGAGGGAGAGGCAGTAGGGCATGGGGTGCCAGGGCACAGCAGAGCCAAGGAGCTGCCAGCACAGAGGATGGCACAGGGGGGACAGTGCAGCCATAAGCCCCGGGGGGAAGGGACCCTCACCCACTGCCAGGGGTGTGGGGGCTGGCCATGGCTCCGATCACTGCGTCAGTAGCCAGAGTTGCCTTCAGGGGTTCCGACTCAAACCACTGATCCAGGATCTGGCCCAGGAGAAAAGGAGAGTGCCAGGCTTGGGGTGGGGGCCTGCCACAGCACCCTCGCAGGCAGGCAGGGAGGCGGCTGGTGGCTCTGCACCGCTGCTGCCGGCACTCACTTTGGAGATGGGGGCTGTGAGCACTTCGTAATAGCGGGGCAGCTGCCTCCCCAGCGCCAGCCCTGGGGGTGCAGACGTAGCGTGAGACCTGCACAGCCATGCCAGGGCCAGCTGCCTGAGCCCGGTTGGGTTTGGGGACAGGCAGTGGGCAAGCCTGCTGGCCTGCCAGCCCAGCTGTAGCTCCTGAGGAGCCTGTGCCCTGGGAAGGAGCACCACCTGCTCCAGGTGCAGGCAAACACTCGTTGCCATCGGGGTCCCCCAGCATCCCAACTGTACCTGCCCGCAGCAGTGGCCGCAGGGTTTGCAGGGCCCTGAGCCGCTGGATCAGAGATCCCTGCCCCAGGACAGCTGTATCCACTGGAGGGGCATCCAGCAGCGGGTCAAGGGCCGACACCAAGCCCCCCATGAATGCCTCATACTCAGGGTAAGCCTGAAAGGGGACAGAGGGGGGGCAAAAGGGACTGTGCCATGGTGGATGCAATGGATATCCCACCTAGGAGCATCCCTGCTACTCTGCTGGGCAGGGCAGCTCCTCGGGGGCTTTGCTGTGCCAGGCACGTGCTCCCGCAGTACCTGCGCATCCTTCTGGGAGAACTGAGCAATCTGCTGCTGGGTCTGGGCCATGTTGTGCCCTAGCAGGAGGGAGCGAGGGGGGCTCTTATCCTCCAGCAGTGGGGTGAAGGAGTAGGGGTCCCGCGGGAGCACCCTCAGACCGTGCCGCTGCAAGACAGGGATGGCAGGACCCACCGTGCGGGGACAGCCTGGCAGCAGGCTCACCCTGCCAGCATGCTGGGACGTGCTGGCAGCCCAGCAAGGGATGGGTGCTGGTACCTGCAGCTCCAGCTCAGTGTAGATCTGCGGCCGCAGCAGGCTGAGCAGGTACGATGCCCGAGAGAACTTGAAGCCTGGAAGATGTGGGGCATTGGGGGGGTGCCTGCACCAAGGGCTGGCCAGGGGCAGGGGGACACAGGGTGCACAGGGGTACCTGGCACAATCTCCTCTGTGACGGCTGCGCCGCCCAGCACGTGGCGTTTCTCCAGCACGGCCGTGCGCACCCCTGCCCGCTGCAGGTAGGCAGCCTGGGGGGAGTGTGGTGTCATGCTGCCCATCCCTCCAGGTGGGATATGTCCTTGTCACCCTGAGCACCCTCTTGCACATGGTCCCCCCCCCTCACCAGGGAGGGCTCCGCTCCCAACAGCCCTGTGGGAGCCCCCAGCCCCAGGGGCCCTGCCACCAACACTCTCCCTTGCCCACAGCACCCTGGTCCCCCAGTGTCCCCCAGCGATGGAGGGGGCAGCACCCCGCTCTCGGTACTCACTGCCACCAGCCCGTTGTGCCCTGCAAGGAGAGAGGGAGGTGAGCTGAGCCTGGTGGCAGGGCAGTCCCACAGCACAGGGCACCCTGCCATGCCTGGGATGCAGGGCTGCCACAACCACCCAAATAACGGGGTTCTGGACATGGGGATACAGGTGACAGGGAGCATCCTCCCCCGTGCCCATCGCCCTGGACCTAATGGTGCAGGGGAGGGCGACAGAAGTGGTCAAAGCAGATGCTTCAGCACAAGCAGCGTGTTGCGGTGCTGCAATGCGTGCCCAGCTGTGCAAGACCCCTGCACACTCCCTAGCAAAAGGAGCATGCCAGGGGGCTGCAACATGCCCAGCACCACCGTGGTCCCCACCTGGCCACCCCCCCGCCTGCCCTGGGCGGAGGGCAGGTGGATGTCCCCTCCGGCTCCCTGCAGCCCAGCACCGGCTCCCTCACCCCACGTTACCTGCCCCGATCACCACTGCGTCGTACTCCTGCTGCAGCTGGTCTGCAGCCCTGGCATGGGACAGCCGTGCTCCCGGCAGCCCCGGGAACAGATGCCAGCCCCACAGCCAGCAGGAAGAGCAGCCCGTGCCCAGCCTTGCCCGGAGCCCAGCTGCCATTGCCCCACAGTGCCTGGCCACAGCTGCCCTGTGCCCAGCGGCCTGGACTTTGCTTTTACAGAGGAGCTTTTCCCATGGCTTCCGGGCACGGGGAGGGGACAGGGGACACCTTGGCACAGGGCTGGACGCTGTGTCCCAGGGCTTGCCGGGAGGCTGGGCAGGACACGGGCACACGCTAAGCGCTGCTCCCCCAGTGCTGCCTGCAGCAAGGCGCTGACCCTGGTAAAGCTTTGCCAGGGACCTGCAGGGGGGCCGGAGACCAGCCCCAGTGCCGAGAAGGCAACAGGGTCGGACCCTACCTGGTGTTCAGCAG